AATTGGCTTACTAAGGCAGAGCTGGTGTGAGAGATGTTAAGGAACTATGCAGCTGGGAGTGAGAAGACAGGCAGTGATGACTTCATTTTTTCAGCAGCACTGTGCTGTTAAGTAACTCTTCTTACCCTTCAAAGGAAGAAGTGGTATAGCAGTCCTGACGTTTTGGAGTAATGCTTTTCTGATGGTCCAGATTTCTGATTTCTTCTGGACTTTTGTGTATGATTTCAGATATGCAGTCTCCTTCCTTTAGAGTAGTGAACTTTCTTCTAGTGTCATAGTTTATTTTTTACAGCTTCCTCAAGATCTGTAATTCTCTTCTGGGATGAGTGGTGTGCTGCCTTTTTAACTATGCAATTTTTTGCTTCTTTAAAGGAGAGCAGGAATAGTGTCATACAGCTCACTGTGATAGTTCTTTGGATCTTCCGTTTGGTTAGGATTAGCCTTATTTTCACTGTTCTTTCTTCCTGCTGATTAAATGTCTGTGCAGACTTAAGCTTTTGTGTTGCCATTCATCTTTTCTAAGTTTCAGATAAAAAAACAAACAAACATAAAACCTAAGAAACAAAAGAATGTAATAGCCTCTTAAAAATGAGTTGCAACTCATGTTACAGCTAGTGGTAGGATGTAACACAACTGCCAGTAGTAACATTTTACTCTCAGTACAATGTATGATTAATGCTCTATTTTCTTTGAACGCTCTGGTATAGATCGATTTTTCAAGTTAATTTTTTCCTACTGGCTTTTGTTTGTATTGCATATATCAACACAGAGCAAATGCCCATCAAGGAAAGAGGGGAGGGTATTCTAACTTCTCATCACTATTTCTGTGTGTGTGGGGTGCACTTATGAGCTCGTATGGTCTATTTCTAATGACAGTGGTTACACTGGCATTTATCCCCTGTAGTTGCATAAAGTCATGTTCACAGTTTGGCAGTATTGTCTGTATTACATCAAAATGGGTTTCCTTTTGCCTTTGTTTCATCCACTGTGGTCTTCACCTTGCATTTCAACAAGGGAAATTGGCTTGGTTTAATTTCTTTATGCCGTTCATCCTATCTCATCTTCTTTATCTTTTGTATAAACTATTTTTTCTTTTAGGTCTGTCCTTGTAACCAGATACATTGTACTGACTACTTTCACCTCATTTTTCTACTTTCCCATACCGATACCTACAGTATAAACTTTCAGAAAGAGCTTTTTTTTGAGATAAAGTGAGAGCTTCTCTGTATAGTGCCCAGTACAAAAGGTCTTGATGCTGCTATAATATAAACTACAATGAAGACACTCTGTGTCTTTTGAATTTCTTATTTATTTAAACTTTGATGCGTGTTCTGTGCTCCTCATTTACTCACTAATGGTAACTATTGCTTTATTTTCAGCATGCTCTGTTTGTTATTTTCCATTATGTTTCTTTAGGGGTCCTAAAAGTCATTATTTTTTAAATGTCTTTGTTACGTTACTCAGAATGGTGTGGACTTTTTTCTGAATTGTTACTGTTGAACCTTAGTATAATGTATAAAAGAGCACATAATTTTTTTCATGGAATTTACTTTGCATGTAGCATTGGATTTAATCTACTACATTTTATATTCCAGTCCTGAAGAGTCTCAATCTATTCTAACATTTCATAGCTTTCATAAGTATTGTTTACTGCAGCCTTACCATTCATAGTTTAGCTTCTGTTTTGCTTTGTTGACTGAATTTGTAAAGCTCTATTTTCAGTTTGTCTCTAGCAAATACATATCTTGGCATTTGTCATTAAGGAAGACTTTTAAATAGGGCATCTAGTCATTCCCAAGTTTAGGAATTGATCTGTGCATCTGATTGTGGGCCAAAATCTGTTAAATTGAGTATTAATATCTTTTGAGAAATCTCTATGAAAAACTTGGAAATCCAATTTGTTGTTGTTCTTAGTATTTCATTGAGATGTTTTTAAAAACAAAAACACCTTCTCAGCCCACCAGATGTGAAAGTTGTGTTAGGAGCAGATTATTTCAGAGTAGAGATTGTTTATTTAGTACTGTTTGCTTAAGTATGGGAAAGAACTGAAACATTGAGGCGGGGTGTGAATCTGTAAAATTAGACTTGCCTTTTGGTTACTTTTCTTGCAAGAATGGAAAATGAAGGGAAGGAGATAGGAAGCTGAGTTTACTTTCCAGTTTTACTGATTGCCACTACTTCTCTAAGCGGGCAAAACTCCCTTTACTGAAATGCAGAAACAAAGTAAATTTTAATAAGTTTCTCCAGTGCAAGCTACGTGATTCACAATCCTGAAATAATTGGCAAAGTCTTAGTAAATACGAGAAGTAGGTTGCTTAAATACATTGGTCTCTTAATCTCACTGCAGAATGTGTTTCTATATTGATACCATCTAAAAACTTTAATTTAGGATCTCCTCCCAGTATTGGAAGTTCTGAAGAGGTGTCCAGATATCTATATAATTTGCTTTTCCTCCTTCATCATGCAATCAGCAATATCTCCATGCTTCACTTTAATTTCGTTACTGACCTAAAGGGGTAATGATGCAGGTGACAGAGATTATTTCCCAAAATATTTTTTTTTTTAAATTCGCTTCTTGAGGAGTTGGGGGATCATGGCAGCCACTTACCTAAATGGAGTGCAAAGCCCCCAATATTTATGTCCCCATTTGCAGTGCACAGCTACAATTTGCAGTTCACTGTTAATGTTTTGATTTTTTTTTTTTTTTTTTTAATTTTGAGAGGAAGCATGACAGTTGATACCAATAATGCCGTTGCCTTTCAAAGCTGGAAAAAATATACCAACCAAGATCTTTTCATTCAATACTCATCACTAATAGAGGGAAACTAATAGAATTTACTCACATAAGCTTTTCCTGGCAAGCTGAAATATATTCAGCATGCATCCAGGCTGTTTTGAATAGTAATTATAACTAGTGTTACTGGTTGTATTTCCAGTTCCTTGCTACACTGTATGGAGCTTTATAAACTTTACCTAGAGTGCTTGTTGGTACTTTCAAGAACACTTTATGGTCTGATAGTCTGGTTCCATTTTCTATAAGAAAATCGTGTTGAAATGAGTTTTTAAAGTGTAAGTGATGGATAGAGGACCCAATAAAACTCTTCTACGCTCTTCTGTTCTGTGGGGTTTTTCTGTTTGTTTGGTGGTTGAGTTTTTTTTCCACAGCACAATGTAATTGAAAGCAGTCAAGCTCTTACGAGATGCTCTGCAGGTCTAGTGGCAGGAGGGGATTGACTATTTGCCTATGCTTTTTTCTTTATCCTTCAAAGATGATTTCAAAAGAGAATTGTTTCCCCTGCAGCCAGTATGTGGGAATAGGTGGGTGAAAGAGAAGAGTTAGAGGGAAAGAAACAGAGACTAGCAGAAAATATAAGCCTGAAAGGCTGTTTCAGGTTTTGGCTGCTTTTGTAATCAAAGCTTATAAAAAGAAGTCTTGAATGTTAAATGGAGTAAGAAAATGAAACTTTCCTACTCCCATTTGATGTAGTAAGTGTTAAAATTTTATTTCCCTTCTGGTAATGTAGCCTCAGCTATATGCCATTAGTAGTTGTGCGTGGCTGTGATTTAATGAGCAATGGTTCATCTGCTCACGCAGACTATAGTTCTGGGCAATTAATGTTGGAAGCAGTAGTGTAAGTGTATGATTGAGGCCTCATCTTGGTTCCATTTTGATACCCTGTATTTAAAGTTGAAATACATCTCAGCATAGTGGTGGTAGCTTTTTGAGGGAGAGGGTTGTTTGTGTGGTGGTGTCCCCCCCCCCGTCCCCCCCCGGGGGTGGGGATTCTCCTTAAGATGCATAAGATAAGCCATGAAACAAAATTCAGATAGTGACTTTATGGGCAGGCTAGCAAATGTGATGTTACCTTTCACTGTAGTATCTGGTACCGAACACTATCACGCTGAAAAGAAATATACTGTTAATAGGATACCAGTAATTGTGGTATTTTTGGTGCACAAGTTGAAATCCTCTTTCAGTCATCCAGAATATGGGTGTGTTTTTGAAGAAGCGTATGAATTATGTAATGTAAAGCTGCGGATATAACCTCTGGAATGTGCCGTGCTGTCACGTATCTTTTAAGTAGCTCTGGTACAACTTACGATTAAGGTTGCACTATATATGCCACTAAATGACCTCGTGTTGTATGTAACTTTGCAGAATTACCTAAAACTTCTCATGCCAAGTGCGTGGTTTAGGTTGAACTATACTGAAAGCTTCAATTAAAACAGTGAAAAAATTTTCAAGAATGAACATGGGGAGAATGTCTTAGTATTTTAAAACAAAAAATACACTTTAAAAATTTGCTCTGAGAGGTTGCTAAAGTGAGTGCTTTTATAATTTTGTCTAGCAGTCTGCCTAGACTCAAATGAGACAGATAGCATGTTTGCATTTGAGCACTTAAATGTCCAAAAAGACTGTCCTGCTGAGTATGTGCTGCACCTTCATCCAATTTCTCTTATTGAGCTATCTTATCGTGGATAGGCATGCTTTACTCCAACCTGAGAAGGCCATGTAATTGCAGCTGTCAGCTTCTGTGGATCTGGGGAATGGAGTTGAGAGAACGGACTCATTTGTTGTGAGCAATTGCTTTGCTCTCTTCTGAAATTCCAGCTTTTAAGAAGGAAATTGTTTTGATTTTTAAAAACAGTCAGGAAGATGCTGTGTTTAGACAAAAAAGTCTGGTGATGTAGCCATCCTTCATGGTTTGTGGACTGTTTGGAGGTATAAGGGAATGTTGGGTGGGAACTAGAACTGACTGAAGAACTAAAGGAATGAAGAATCATATCTTCCATAGGTAAAAAGTGGGACTTGAGTATGGAGAAAAGACACTGTGGGAGTAGGAGAAGGTTTGGCATGAGGAAAATGGGCAAAAGCATACATCTACTAGAGGAAACTGCTTTCCAGAGCCTGGAGTAAACCCAAAGTTTTGGAGTCTTGCCATGTCTTTGCTGTCAGGAAATATCTGTGAAACCCAGAGGCAAATTCTCATTCCTCCTCTGCTGCTGGACAGTATCTTCTTCTGCTGTCAGTTAATACCTTATTTCATGTGGCAGAGGTCTTTGAATGTAAAAATGCCAGCTTAGCTGACTGGTTGAATTTAGCAAGTTGCCAGATATGAGTACAATTGTTTTGTGGCAGTAAAACCGATCCATAAGATGCACACAGATGAAGACTTTCAGGCATGCTTTTTTTTTTTTTCTCACAGGAAGAGTGATGTTTCTGATACTGGGGGATCTCTGAACTAATTTATTTATTTATTTATTTTTTAATTATTTTTGGCAAAGGAGTAAGGACCAGACCTGTCTTTGTGAAAGGTGCGGTATCCTACCATCTTGCTACTGGATTTGAGTGACTGTCACAGGTGACTTGCAGAATAATGATGAGCTTATTAAGGAAACGGGTTAAGTAAGGAAGAGGAAAAAATGATAATACTTTTTCTTCATTAATAATAGTCACAATTACCTAAAAACTTGTCAATTATCTTAAATACATTGCTTAGCACATCTGTGGTTTTATTATGCTGTCTATGTGTATTGTGCTGGATTTTGCTGTCTCAAAGTAAAAACAAAAATCCACCAAACAAAAAAAAATCATCTATGTAGAGAAGGTTTATTTCATAAAGGGTCTGAATGCTTATTAAACAGACTCTTGTGCCCTCAGGTGCATGGTAAAATCATGTTTCCTTTTTTGGTGAAGTATACCAAAGCATGCTATATAAGTATATTCCGTTTTCAACTTAAAAGTTAAACATATGCACTGAGTGTTTTAACAAATACTCAAGCTTGGGATATGGATTCTAGAATCAATTGTATCGACTCTCTTAGGGAAAAAAATCACATTTGCAAGCATTCTCTTTGATTTCTTTATAGTGTTTCATGAGATTGTTCATAAAGGTCTACTTCCCAGAAAAGTGCAATTCCTTCAGCATTTTTAGAGAATATCTCTTGGTGTTGAACAAGAGAATATTAACTTAAAGACGTAATAAGGTATAGACCAAGACAGTGTGTATTTATTTACATGGAAAGAAGCATTGTGCTTATTCTTGAAGGTGATATCTTATTGATGCGTTGTCTCAAGGCAGGGCCTAAATATCTGGTAATAGTGATAATTATTGTTACTGATTAGTAATAATTATTGTGGTTTAGAAACCTGAAGAATTATTTCAATTAATAGTGGCATTTTTGCTGTGTATTTTGGAATCAAGGGTATATGAGAATATTGTCGTAGTTTGCAGGATAGTTACATTGTGCAACTCTAAAAAAGTTAGTAGTAATTTGTCAAGACATACTAACCTCTTCACGTTCCTGAAGAGAGTACAATTGATGTCTTTTGAGGAAAGGCTGTGGTTTCGTTTTACTAGGTTTTAGTTGATTGCTGTTGTGGCAGTCTATGTAACCATGCCGTTACATAGACTTGGAATCTCATGGCAAAGTGCATAAGTTACCTTTGATGTACCTGTAAAGTGATGTACCTTTATGAAGATATCTTCAAGGTAGTTTTGACTTGTACTGACCAAAATACTCTGAGGGCAGTTTTGGCTATGGCTACCTCACCTCTCAAGGCAAATCTGCCTAATGGGGGCCCGATGTTACATGCAAACTAAGTATTGTGTGTGAAACGGAAAAGGATGATCGGAAGGCCCAGCCTAGTCTATTTTATTCTGATTACTTATAGAATTAAGCATAGTATTGCTAACCAAATGTTTGCTACTGTTTACAGAGTAGGCAGGCCATCTACAGTCTCATTATTCTTAGTGAAAGCTCCGTTACGGTTGAAGGGAGTGAGCGTGGTTCTGTGTTTATCGAAATAAGAATCCACCTAATAGGGCAGATAACACTGTAGTTTTTGGAAAGTGAGTATCTGTTTATCATGTAAAGGAGCAAAAAGATTGTGAATCTGCCTATAACTCTGATAGTCAATGGGATTTTGTTGTAGTATAAAAATGCTCTTAATGGAGGTTTTTTGTAGTTGAAGAGCTTTACTTTTTCTTGAAGGAAATGAAACTTTGAAGGATGGGCTAGGTATGTTTTAACATACCCAACTGCAAATTAGATTGTACATTCTGTTCACTATGTGGAATAACAATAAATAAAATAGGGCATATAACAGCTAGTACCTTTCATTGCAGTAAAAGAAACCTAAGTGGCAATGTTCTTGTTTCTCACTTTACCAGAGGTTGATGCTTTAGTGGTAGTGGATTCTCTTCATTAAAGTTTTGCTGGCTGTGCACGTTTAGAAAAAGTTAGTTGCCTTGCTGATTTCCTGCCTGCTGGTAATGTGTTGAGTCAGATGGCTGAACTAATGCGTGGTACAAAAGGATGGATAACAGTAAGATTAGTATACTAATATGTCTCTTCAGTTTAACTTATGTTCAAGTCTGGAAAAATACTCAGGTTCAGTAAAAATGACAATTACAAACAGCCCATTTTTTAACCTTGAAGTTAGGCCTCAGTCATGTAAGATTTAGTTTGATTGTTGCCAGGTTTCAGTTCCCTGGAGAACCATGTTTACATAGGTATATTTATCTTTTAGAAGATTATTCAGGTGTATGTATTTGCAGTGAATTCAAACACATTTTTTTTTTTCTCTAGATTGATGAAAAACAAGCAGCTTTTCAAAGCTGACTGGTTATCTTAATCACTTCAATGTGAAATTGAAGTTGTTTAACAGTTGTAATAGAGGAACTCAGTGACGGTTTTTAAGTAGTGCTATTTTCTGCATGTACTACCTAGCATAAATACAAGCATTTTTTTATCCTCTCAACACCTTGGTTAAAGTATTTAATGTTACTAAAATTTTTTACTTGTATTTCTCATATATAAATTTCTGTCATTGATTGTGCTTGTATAATAAATTACAGTTTGCAGTAAGGTAAAACTGTACTTATTAGCACATGTAGTGTAGTCTTTTTAAGACTGGCTCTTGAAATAAAAACTTAATCTTTACTGTACATATGATAAGCGTGGGTCATACAGCAGTTTGATAAACCATCTGCATACTGAATTATTTTCTTCTTGGTGTGTGATCTGTCTAATTTGTTGTAATTTGAAGACTGTCTTGGTAGGGAATTCCTATCCCAAGCTATGTATCATATATGTTATCTGAAAACAGATCATGTTTTGATTTAACAATTTTTTTCCCACCAAAATTGTAATTCGCTATGGTGGGTTCCTCCAAAATCATGTGTCTCAAATTCAGAATTCTGGGTTTTTTTACTGTTATACTTGCTTGTGGCCAGTTAAAATCTGTTTAATTTTACAGCACATGTTGCCCTTTTAACTCTTATTCTGGTGGCAGTTGTCAGTGTCTTGATAATGAGCAAACCTCTCTTGGTTGGGTTTTTTTGTTGTTGTTGTTCTTGGGGGGTTTTTTTGTGTCTTCCCCTCCCCAAGCCAACCTCTTTATTTTTTCCTGTGAGTGGCTGTCCATTTTCACATGATCCAAATATCCTTTTATATCTTCAGTATTTTGTCTGAATGAGGATGACCGAAATTATATACAACACTTCAACAGAGTTCTTCATGCATTTCTTCTGTTCTTTATCGAAAATACCATACGGAGCTACATCAATTAAGTATTTGCTCTTCCACTGCTGTCACTGTTTGGTCCCTCCTGGTTAGTGTGTGATTGATAATGGGTTTTGCATCCTGTGGGTGTCAAACAGAACGTTCTTCACTGGGGGGGTGGGGGGGTGTAACCTAGTTTTGCGGCATTAACAATTCAGAGTGAGAATCTCTAATTCATTTTTAGAGATTATTCAGTTCACCTTTTATGAGGTTTTCCATCACCTTTGGTCAACCTCCTTTTAATTAGTTCTACTTTTAGCACAGCTATTGTCACTTTGTTTTAGCTTATACCTTGAAGAGCTTTTCTAGGAAGCACCGTTTCTTTAGTTAAATTCCATGCAGAATTTTGCATGGGAAACTCAACTTAGCGCTGCTCTGTTTTCTTAAGCACTCTCATAGTTATTATGTTAGTCTAGCACAGTCTGACTCTGGTAAACTTGTAGTGTGCTTTACAGACTTTCATGCCGGTATTTTAAGTTCTTCAACATTTCTGGAATTTGGCATAGTAATACAAACGGACTAACGTGTCTGGCTGGAATATTTATTCTTGAACTAAATTTTGGAGCCTTTTCCTGCATGAGCATGTGTTTGGTTATTGTACTTCCAACTCAGAGTTTCCAGGTTTTTTTCTTTCCAACATTCATCTTTGATCTTTTCTGTTCAGATGATTTTGCTAACAAGTTCCATTACTTCATCAAAGTCACCTGTTTTGAAATCTAAGCTTAAATAAAATTCATTGTTCTTCTGTTTGTTCAAGGTTTATAACTTGATTTGATGGCTATCTCCTTTGAAGTCTTCTCTGCTTACTAAAGCCAAATCTAAAACAACTTTGTATGTTGGTTCATCAACAAATGTTGATGATAATGGATAAATGTATCAGTTTATCACATGCAGGAAAATTTGACTACTGCGGTATTAAGAATTGATGTCTGTGCTAATTAAGCTTTGTAACTTAATAAATATAAGCTAAAAGATATGTTGGACATGTATAATCTTTTAACACAGATGGGTAATACTTAATTTAGGGCTGTAGTTTGGTCAGCTGTGTTATAAAATTTCTTAAGGTATGGTGTTGCTTATATATTTGGTTAAGTAGAGATTGTGATTTTGTTTATGTACTGCCTAACTCTGGGAAGTCTTCCAATACTTAAAAGTTAGTTTGAAGTTGCACAGTGCATCTTGATAATGTATTTAATGTCAGAGCAGTGCAATAGTTAATGTATTTAATGTGGTAGATGACTAACTTGTCAGTGTCAGTGTTGGTACTTGTCAACCAAAAATTGTTACTTTCATACAGTCTAGTGAATAAAATGCTGAGAGAGCCAGGGTAGGGCAGCATGTAAAACAATACCGTGTGATAGGGAGCAGTATGTTTAAAAGTGGAATTGTATTACTGTCGTACATGATCAGTTAAAAAAAGTAAATTGGGAATGAGAGGAACTAGTCAGTCCTATTCAAATGGATTAGATTCCAGTTGAAGTGATGAAAGTTGTCAGGTCAGCCTCTTATGAAACAGTACTTCGTATATGTAGAGACATTGCTTTTACAAATACTGGAATAGCTTTGTTTTGATATGCTTAGCAGGTTAGAATTAGAGATGTTCACTTTATAACTAAGTCATTTGCTTATGATTAGATAAGTTTGCTTTCTCAGTTTTTGATGTTTCATGTCTTGCAGTATTAGGTAAATTTGTCAGTTGATAGCCAATGATCACAGGTTTTTTAGATGTCAGAGGTACAAAAACTTAGTGCCAAAATCCAGGTTTTTATAATTACAAAGTGTCGTCTTCAACATCTCAATAGCAGTATAGTATATTTTTTTAATAAAGAATCCGTAATGTTAATTCTGCATGACTAATCAGCTAATCCTGGCTAATTTTTTTTTCCACCTTCAACTCACTGACTAAGTACATATGTATGGTCCAGATATCTAGCTTTTTTTCATGTATCAGGTGATCACTGTGTGCATATACTGTAGAAGATTCAGTTTTATGACAAGAAAGAGACTGATACAAAGCTATGTGTAAAATTGACAAAGGACA